TGCTCGACCAATGAGAAAAAACCCGCCTTTCGTATTGGCTAGAGGCTATGTTCGTACCTCAACATGCTTCCGTGGTTGAGCGAGCTCTGTCCTTTGTTGAAAGGGTACATCGACTACTGGACCCTGGCGTTTATCAGGGGCCTAGCTGTAATATTGTTTCAGCTTTGTAGTGTTCCATGGTCGAGGTAGTGGTTCTCCACTTAGGCGTTAGAGTTTGTAGGCTCTAGTGCCCGTTGCCCCGCAGACGCAGTAAGGTCCTTCCCAGTTTGCGGCCAGCTTTCCTTCACGGGAATCTTTTTGATTTCTCTACAAGACTAGGATGTCGACTTAGAATTTACGTTTTATGACTTTGGTGTCATGACACAGGGCTATCTACTATTTAAGCGTGGCTTTGTAAAGAGATACTCCTGATCGGATTTCTTCAACCAGGCCAAGCTCTTCCCTTAAGGCTTCTTCATTTAGTTCCTTGTCTAAAGGGACTTCAGTCGGTCTGGATGACTCTATAATTTCCATGGGGATCACGGCTTCGGTGCCATAGGTTAGTTGAAACGGGGTTTTACCGATCATTGAGTATGGTGTCATTCGGTAAGCCCACAGGACGTTGTGCAGCTCTTCGACCCACCCCTTTTGACTTCGCCTAACCTGCACTTGAGTCCTTGCAAGATGACTCTATTTGTCGCCTCGGCTTTCCTGTTTTTTTGAGGGTGTTCAACAAACGTGAAGTGTTGTTTGGTGCCGAGCTTGGAGATGAAGTCTTGGAAGCTTTGGTCAGTGAACTGCATCCCGTTGTCGCTGTCGAGCCCTTCTGGTATGCCAAATCAAGCAAGTACGTTTCATTTGTAGAAACAAAGGATGTTGTGTGACGTGATTCTGGCTAGGGCTTCAGCCTCTATTCACTTCATGAAATAGTCGACGACCACGATCAGGAATTCATTTTGATATGATCCTTGTATGAACGGTCCAAGGATATCCAACCCCACCAGGCGAACAACCACAAGGATGAAAGTGTTTTGAGTTCGTGTGGGAGTGAGATGTGCATGTCCACGCGTCTTTAACATTTGTCACATTTTTTGACACGCTCCTTCGTGTTATGCTGCATAGTGGGCCAATAATACCTTGCTCACAGCGCCTTTCATGCCAGAGATCTTTCGCCCAAGTGTTTGGCATTAATTCCCTCGTGGATTTCCCGTAAGATATCAATGATTTTGGATCCCTCGACGCATTTCAGGAGTGGGATGGAGAATCCCTGCCGATAGAGTTAATGCTCGACTATTACGTAAGAGAAGACTCATTATTTGGTCACATTGGCCTTTTTTTGGTCTGCGGGTAATTATCCCTTTGTGAGATAATTAAATACCGGGGTCATCCAACACGAACTATCCCCGATGTCATTCATCTCGAGTGATGTAGTGGGCTTTTCAATACTCGAACGAGAAAGGGATTCTTGGATAACGGATCTGCTCCTACCCTTTTTCTTTGTGCTCGCGAGTTTTGAGAGCATGTCGGCCAAGATGTTTTGTTCACAGGGTACATGTTTGATTTCTGCCCATTTGAACTTCTTCTTCGTTCTTTGACTAGGTTCAGGTATTCAACGTGGCTATCATTCTTGGTCTGATATTCTCCTCGAACTTGAGATGCGAAGAGCTGGGAGTCCGTGAGTACTTGTACTTCTCAGAAACCTAGGTCTTCGGAAAGCCTTAATCTTGCGAGCATGGCCTTGTACTCGGCCTGGTTGTTCTACGTGGGAAATGACAAGGTGGGATAATGTTCGACCATAATTCCCTCTTCGTTTTTGAGGAGGATTCCTGCTCCGCTTTCGCCCACGAAGATGGTCCACTTGTGTTTTCTGCTTGTCTGGGGTTCGTGGGTGGTCATATCCATAACAAAGTCGACCAACACCTGGTCTTTAAGAGTTGTACTACTTTCATACTAAACGTCGAACTCCAAAAGCTCTAGGGACCATTTCAACATTCGACCGGCCATGTCTGGTCGACCTAAAAGTTGTCTTATGGGATGATTTGTTCGCATGAGGACCATGTAGGACATGATGTAATATCTGAGTCTCCTTGCCGCGAGAACGAGTGCTAAGGCTACCCTTTTAATTTGTTGCTATCTGACCTCAGGGCTCTGCAGTGCTTTGCTAGTAAAGTATACTGGTTTCTGCCTATCTGGTGTTTCGTGGATGAGGGCCGCACTCACAGCCTCAGTGGAGACGGACAGATAAAGGAACAAAGTTTGTCCACTCTCTGGTCGTGATGACATGGGCGGTTGTGAAAGGGCTTACTTGAGGTGGAGGATGGCTTTCTCTCATTCCCTGGTCTAGTTGAAAGCGGTCTCTTTACTCAAGAGTTTGAAAAACGGGAGTGTGTGTTATGCAGACTTTGCCACGAAGCGGGAGAGTGAGGTGAGCATGCCATTCAAGACTTGTTTGGATTTTTTTGAGCTTGGCGTTGGGAGCTCGGAGAATACTCGACACTTATCGGGATTGGCTTCAATTTCCCATTCAGTCAGATAAAAATCGAAGAATTTTTCCGCATTAACCTTGAGGGTGCATTTCTTCGGGTTGAATCTCATTTTGCATTGCCTTGCTTGGGTGAAACCTCTTTTAAGGTGGGCAGCATGGTCGGTTTCCGTTTGACATTTGACGATAATGTTGTCGATGTATACCTCGAGCATGTCCCCGATTTCACTATGGAAGACTTTATTCATTATCCGCTGGTATGTTGCCCCTGCATTTTTTAGGTCGAAGGGAATTATGTTGTACTAGTAATTTCCCGACCCGGTCATGAAGGAGGTGCAATGTTTGTCGCTCATCGCCATGGGAATTTGATTGTAGCCAGAGTAGGAATCCATAAATGATAAAATTTTGTAGCCTACTGAGTTGTCAACCAACATGCCGATGTTAGATAAAGGAAAAGTATCTTTGGGAAATGCCCGGTTGAGATTAGTATAGTCAATGCCTATGTATCCTTTTTGAGGAATCAGAGCTACCGTAGTTTGGCTCACATGTTTTTGTTTGTTTTTTGTTTTTTATGGACAATGTTAATTCCGCCTTCTGCCGTAGCTCGACCTTTGGAGACTTATGCGTTGGCACAAAAGTAAGCTAATCATGTCCTTACCTGAAAAGGTTTTAGAGAAAAGGTGCTTGAGCGCACAAAAAGGGTTTGAGTTGGTTTGTATTTTTGTTACCTTGAAAAAGGGTTTAAGTGTGATTAGCATGTTTTGTGATTTGCTAAGAAAAGAAGTTATAGTTTTGAATGCAAGTATGTAAAAAAGGGAAGAAAAGAGTCTACGGGAGACTAGCCTATTTCTAAGCCTAATGTTATCATACAATGGTGGCTCTACGTCAAAGATGAAAGGGAAATCTCTACCTAATGTTAGCATGCATGGTTTGCAGCCTAAGGTCTAACTAGCATTTGAACAAAGAAATCACGTCCTAAGGGAACATGGTATGTACAAAGGTAAAGAAAGAAAGCTTAAAAAAGAACACACATAAAATAGTAAGGAAAAGAAGAGAAATGCTTTAGCTAAGGGGAGCATATCACCCGAGACAAACAAGCGGGAGTGAGATGAAGAAATAAAATGTGATTTCCGACGCGACTGAACACCTAACCAAGATATAGGAGATCGAGGCAAGTGATAGAAGATGATATGAACGATCACGGAGTATCAACATCGGCCAATGCAAACTCCTGACAAATCGCGGGGGTTCGATTGCGGAACCCATACCCACCTGATAACTCTATATATAAGAGCAGGCACAACTCTGAAGCTTTGTGGTGCGTCACGAGCTAAGGATGACATGGACAAAATTTCAGGGGTTGATTGCTAACCCTCTCTGCTCGTCTCCTTTTGATGACTTCAATAAGGGATGGGGGAATAATGCGGGCACAAATATAAACACACCTGCAGAATACCTACTCAAAGGCAGGGTATTAAACAAATCACACACAAGTAGCAAATAGAATGCACACAATGCGAAATTTCCCAAAACGGGTCTTTAAATAAACTAGAGGGGTTCATGACATGATCAGCAACGGAGACCCCCGTCATACATCTTTACCCTACTTCTCATGGCATCAGAAAACAGTAAAATAATACTTCTCATGATATCTAGAAAAGTAGTAAAGAAATGTAGTAAAGTGCGAAGAAGTACGAAGGTAGTAGCTGCGACTACAAAAGCGAGCAAGTCGTCAAGAGCATACGAAAGTACTTGAGAAGCAGGGAGTATGCGTAGAGCAAGCTTCACCAAGAAACAAACAAAGTCAAAAATGATATCTAACTAAGATAAAGGCAAACATGTGTTGCGAATGTAGTGCGTAATCATAAGTTCCAATGTAAAGCATCACGAAGTATCGTATATTTCAAGACAACATATAATAGGATATGAATTTCTCAAGATGAGGAGAAATAAGGCGTGTCGCATCAGAAGCGAGCATAAGCCATATGCTTCGATCATATAACAACTCGTTATGTTATATGATCGAAAACATAAAAGAATGTACCTTGCACAATGATTAAACACGTTAAAAAAATAACAAGGCACGTCGATACAAAATATGAATAAAAACTAAAAGAGAAAAAGTATTTTTCTATTAGTTTTTTACATGCGGAAAATTCTAAAAATTAATTTTTAAAATCAATTAAAAGGGTCTAAGTTTTTATTGATTTTGTAGTTTTCTTATCACAAAGAAAATAAAATTAAATCCTAAATCTAACAAAGAGAAAGGTAGGATCAGGGGTGTATGTTGGAATCCGGATGGTAAGCTCAATAGTTAAGAATTATGGTGTTAAGCCCAATCCAGAACGAATCGAATAGTCTTTTTTTGTTGGAAATAATCAAGAAGCTTTCCCAAAAACGAAGAACGGGCCATGGGTGTTAGGCCCAACCACCAATGCAAACAATTTTCAGCATTATTATCATTATTATTAGAAGAAAAAAAATTAAAATAAAAAAGATGTAAATAAAATTATACAGTTTGGATGTAGGTAGGGTTAAGTTAATGTGACCTTTCGACTTTGTGGAAACCCTCGATTCTTCTTCTCAAACCACCGCTACAAATGACACCTTCATCTTCTTCAATGAGCAAAAATGCCATCGTTCCTTGGATCTCAGCCACACCAGTACAAAATCCTTCATCCCTCGAACGCAACGATAATTCTTCTCCAATCAGATTCACCACAACACTACCACTATGAAAAATCCGACTGCCACACGACATCGCTCCAACCTCATCCTTCAAACCGTCAGATTCGTCTCCTCCTCGTAAACTCATCTTCAGTCTCGTTTGAGTCCAAGATCCACCTCTGATCCTAAATCTTTTCCTAACCCTAGATCTTCAAACAGAATTCAAGCAATGATGATGAAGATTTGTAGCTCAAAATGTTATGGCTAAGATTCAGCAGGAAGAAACATATGGTGTGATAACAAATTCGATGCAGAAGATGAAGAGATAATGAAGATCACAGGCTTACCTGCCGGAAGTGCTCCAACGACTCTTAACAGGAAACAAAATTATAAGAAAACCAGAGGTAAAGGTTACAAATGCTTTAGGTGAGCGCTCCTTTCCCTTGCTTTCTGTAGATTCCGCTTTCCTCTTGTCTCCGTCTTCTTCTTCTACATGTCTCTGTATTTCTGAATATGGCGTTATGTGTTTTTGTTGAATCGCGATGTTGTTGAAAGTTTAAGAAACCGGGGGTTCTTGATGTCGAATCAGTGAGTGAGGAGATTTATAGTGAATAAGGATGGTGGAGAAAACCGTTGAAGGTGGTTGTGGATGAAGGTTGAAGATAGTGAAGGTGATGTGTGGTGGAAGATCACAAAGGTGATAAAGATATCAAGTGGCTGCTATTGTTGATGGAGAATGATGAAGAGGGTTATAGAAGATGACAAAGAATTCTAGAATTGATGTTGAAAATCTGATTGAGATAAGGGGATGAAGATAACAATCTGAAATCAGTTAGAGACCGAGCCATGAGAGCCACTAGATCCAAATTTCTGTTAGAGATCTGATGGTTAGAATTTTTCTCCTCTTCCTTCCTGTTACATTATATTATCCCTTTTCTTATTTTAAAAATGAACTGTGAATCTTCTTCCTATCCTTTTCTGTTATGATCTATTCTATTAGAAGAAGTCTGTTAGGAAGTTTATGTCAGTTCTGTTTCAGTTAGGAGAGAGAGATGGTTGGTAAGTTAGTAGTAAGATGGAAACAGTTATCGGTTAGGGCTATTAGGAGCTCCGTTAAGAGATATTAGGAAATGGTTAGGAAAAGTTGTGAATCGGTTAGAAAATTATGTTGGAGAGTTAAGAGAGAGGTTATGGAATTTCTGCTATTTTGCTTCTTTTTTTTATAACTGATTTTCTGTTCTGGATGGGGATACAAGAAGTACTAACTATTTTTGATCTTTTTGTTTTGGTTAACTGGTCTTTTCTATTGTGACTGGTGTAAGGCACAGTTTATTGGGGTTTTGTTACAGTTACAATTAGTTATGGTTAGAATTAGTTAGGAAAATCTCTTTTGGTTCTGCTGGAAATCTGTAATAAGAATTTGTTGGAGATGTTATTCCTGCAGGGTCTTGGATTTATGAGTTCCAGTTTTGAATCGGTTTGGATTGTTTTTGCAGGGGATGGAAATTCAGTTAGATGAATGTTGTTTTGGACTGTTGTAACTTTTTCTCCCTTTTATGCTGAAATGAATTTTCTCTTCCATTTTGTTTTACTTTGATCTAATGTTGTCAAACACTTATGTAGGCCTGGTTTGGAGATTCAGAAATTCTAGCCATATGCTACAATTTTGAAGGCAGTATGGTTTTTATGATAGATGAAGCATGAAGCATGGAGGAGAGCTAAGGAAAAAGATCTTGTTGAATATGGAGCATGGAATTTCAATATAACATGAGGCAATTTAAGATGATGAAGACCAAACCAGAGCTGAAGTGAAATAGGTTGTAGGAGTTTCTTTAATCAAATATCATATTTTGGTCAATGGTGAATTTGTTTAAGGACCTGTGATTTTCTCTCTTTTTCCTCTTGTAATGCACTTGAATTCACATGGAATTGCACATTGGAACTCTCAAAATGAATTGGTTCAAGAACATTGGATGAAACACCATTTCCCTCCTTTAATTCAATTTCCAAATTTCTTTGATCTTGTATAGTATATAAGTGGCCTCCGACTTGAGCGACAATGATCTTCGAGCTTGAAATTTCAATGAGTTAGTTTTGTAGTAGCTTGGCACTCTTGAATAAAAGGAGTATATTGGTCATGAATGATATTTGAATTTTTAACTTGTAACTTGAATTCGAGAGATTAAACATGAATGGATCTTTCGAATTTCCTCGAATTAATTCCTAACATCATGACCAAAACACATGCTTGAGATCTTTGATACCTTAAAGAATCCATGGACTAATACTTTGGATCATCCTGCTTGGTATCTCTTGTAAATATTACATTCATCACGCATATAAATCCTTAAATAAATATTCCACAAGATGAACCCAATACACGCCATGCTTGATGGATGAACCTTATCCTCAATTGAATTATCTTCTGACTAAAGCAACAAGTAGTCGAAAGAATAATGACGCCTTGAACATAAAAAATCATCAAGCTCCACATCTTACACCGTGATTTACATCTTGACTTAATGACCAATGATCTCAACACAAAATTAATTCCCCTTTAATAAATCATGGTGGGAGCGCCCACACCCTGTAATTCGATTAGAAAGGAGTCCACAGTGAACGACCATATCAAAGCCCTGCCTCCATAATCCACACTTTATAAGAGAACCTGATGATTCAAGCTTATTTTATTCATACACCTCAAACCAGGATAAAACCCAAATCCTATTCAAGAACAATGATCCCATGATAAATTTATTGATGAATGATGCATGAGGTGTTAGCTGACCTAATGAAGGTTCTATACATGAGAAAAATGCGGGATGCATAAGCCAAATAAAAGTTAAAAGGGTAGGAAAAATTTAGGGTATTACCGCTGCCCCTATTTAATCATCTTATACCTGAAAGTATGATTGACACGTGCCTTTCGGGCGTTCGAGGTAGAAGATGATTACAATACCAATGCCAAAAATTTGTTCAGGGAGAAAGTGTAAGTGTTTTTATTTTTGCAACATCCACTGAGGAATTAAAAGAGGTGGGACTAAACCAGAGGTATACGTCGATCAGAACACGAGGACATCAGAGTACACCGATCAGGACACAATGACTGAGAGGAAAACACCGATAAGGATACGATGATCGAAAGGGAGGAAACGATCGCGACACGATAACCAAAAGGGAGACATCGATTAGGACACGATGGCTAATAGGAATACATTGACCAGGACGCGATGATTCGTAGGTAACGTCGATCAGGACACAATAAATGTTTGAATCGATACAGACGAGTATCAAAAGAAGATACAAGCGAGTTTCAAGAAAGGTTAAATACAAACGAGTGTTTGAATCAATACATACGAGTATTGAAAGAAGATACATACGAGTATTAAAAGGTTAAACACAGACGAGTGTTTGATTCAATACTGACGAGTATTGAAAGAAGATACAGACGAGTATCAAAAGGTTTAAACACGGACGAGTGTTTGAATCAATACAGACGAGTATTAAAATAAGATACAAACGAGTATCAAAATATTAAACATGGACGAATGTTTGAATCAATACGGACGAGTATTGAAGGAATATAAAAATGAGTATCAAAAGGTTAAACACAGACGAGTGTTTGAATCAATACAGACGAGTATTCAAAGAAGATACAGACGAGTATCAAAAGGTTAAACACATACGACTGTTTGAATCAATACGTACGAGTATTTAAAGAAGATAAAAACGAGTATAAAAAGGTTAAGAATGGACGAGTGTTTGAATCAATACAAACGAGTATTGAAGGAAGAAACAGACGAGTATCAAAAGGTTAAACACAGACGAGTGTTTGAATCAATATGGACGACTATTGAAAGAAGATACAGACGAGTATCAAAAGGTTAAACACGGAAGATTGTTTGAATCAATACAGACGAGTATTGAAAGAAGATACAAACGAGTATCGAAAGGTTAAACACGGACGAGTGTTTGAATCAATACAGACCAGTATTGAAAGAAGACACGAACGAGTATCAAAAGGTTAAACACATACGAGTGTTTGAATCAATACGAACGAGTATTGAAAGAAGATACAGACGAGTATCAAAAGGATAAACACAGACGAGTGTTTGAATCAATACAGATGAGTATTGAAAGAAGATACAAACGAGTATCAAAAAAGGTTAAACACGGACGAGTGTTTGAATCAATACGAACGAGTATTGAAAGAAGATACAAACGAGTATCAAGAAAAGTTAAACACAAACGAGTGTTTGGGGGACTGGTACAAATGAGTGTTTAGCAGTTAACACGGACGGGTGTTTGGGAAATTGACACAGACGAGTATTTAGGAAACCCACACAAACGAATGTTGGAAGACTGAATTATTTGTCAGACGGGGATTGGCTACAAGACGAAAACTGGGTTTAGAATGACAGTGTATTGATTTTGCTGGGGAGTCAGAGTACAAGGTACTGGCACCATTAGCTGGACTTTGTGAAGGTGAAGGATGTTAGCTGAAGCTTTGGGAGTGATATCCTCTCGTAGGGACATATTGCTGTTTTTGAATGATTCAAGTCTTTTGTGTAAGGTACCTGATCTGGCTTATGCTTCGTATGCATGTTTGAATTTCTTTTTCCACAAAGATCCATTATGATGGATCGGCTACGCACTTTTAAGGATGAAATGTTATGCAGTGATAACTATATGCAATGCAAAGAAATATACTTCATGGGATAAGCAAAGGCTCGTTGAGAAATGTTGCTCATCACTGGGGATGTCAATACATATCAGTGTCGGAAACCCGTAGTACTAAATATTACTGGGGATACTGATAAGAATCCACACTAGGGAGCTCCAAAGATCATCGGTGACTCCGCCGAAGATTGAATTGCTGACACAGCGAGTTTTCAAGTATGCCATAGAATTCTGAATCAGATTGTTGGGGAAGAGATAACCTGGCCCGACTTTCTTGCATCCTGAATAGTTGAGAGGATGGTAGAACTGAATATGCCGAATAATGGATAATGAACACCATGTAGATCTCTTCGAACATATGCCCCAAGTTTACGCCACACTGGGGAATTACCGAATTACCTCTTGAATCACTTGGGGATGAAAGATGGGAATGGACACATGTGAATGCCCCAATTTTGATCTGTGAAT